AGTGTGAACGAGACTCACTGTAACCAGGCCTGGTGGTGAGTATGCACCGTGATCACCCAGATAAGAGTCGTCCATCTGCTGTCTGTGTGTGTGTGTGAGTGTGTGTGAGTGTGTGTGTGTGTGTGAGTGTGTGTGTGTCAGGACCCAGGCAGCTCTGTTTATCACTGCACTCATCCGTTCATCCTCCTTCACGCTCACTATCTCTTCATCCGTCCGTTTCCCCCGGTCCACATGCCTCACCTTAAATATCTGACGATCCTGTGCACGTCCAGTACGGTACAGTACAGTACAGTACAGTACAGTACAGTATAGTACAGGACAGTATAGTATGTGTCTGAATGTGTATGAAAACATTCATGCATTCAGCAGATACTTTTACCCAAAGGTCATTTACATGAGGAGGATAAAGGATATGGTTTAACTGGGGCTCAAACCCAGGACCTTCTGTGTGTAAGGCAAACGTGATAACCGCTTATCCCTACATACATATCCCTAACAGCGCCTCCTGTGTTGGTTGGCAGAGACTCACACTGTAAATTTCCCTGTTGTGAGACAATAAAAGATTCAATTATTGTTATTACTGATTGATTGACTTGGTGGATCTGAATCAGAGTCTGTTTCCTTCTGTTGTCGTAGGAAAACAAATCACGTCCTCACACTGATGTAAATGACAGAACACTCACACACACAGATTCTGGTGTGAACATAAAATAAATAAATATATTTGTTGTCACCAACGACAGACGTAACGAACGAGATTAAATAGAATCAAACATAACTTCACACAATGGAAAATAGTTCAATTAATTACGTGACAGAATTCAGTTCAAACATAATGGATTTTTTTTAATCAAAATGTCGTGACTGTTCTGTCTGACCTCGACTGTTTTAACAATATTGTTTTTAATAATCTTTTAATAAAAGCCTTGAAGCTAGCCGCGCTAATCTCTAAATGTGTTGGTGGTGTACGCTTTAAAAATATATATATATTTGGAGCTTTGTAATTAATTAATTTCAATTAATTAATTATTTCATCAAACAGCAAGTTTTTACTCAATAAGTTTTTCACAGTTAGTTTGACGACTGACTAACCAAATAGACATACTGATGAACTTAAACATTTCCATCTACTACTACAGTCACACAGTAGTACTTCACAGTACTTCAAGTATGAAATTAGATTTTTTTTTGTTCCACTATTTGACCAAAGCAACAACACGGACAGAGAACGACACTAGAAGGAAGAAAATATTTTTTTAATTAAAAATGAAAATGAGAAAATGAAAATACTGTTAGTCATTATGAATATGTATGTATAAAAAGGGAATTGGAAGGGATTCTTTTAAAATTAAATATAAAGTATAAAGTAAAAGTCATTTTCACAACAAACACACACACACACATACACTTGTACACGTGCTGGCCTAAAAAAGGTCACCGTCCCAACTGTAACCCACATTAGAAAGCAGCAGCAGCAGCAGCAGCAGGAACTCGGCAGGTGGTAAACAGTCCCGACACAGCTCTGCAGCGCCGACATCAATCACACTCGTGGAGCGCGAGCTGCCGTGTTATCTTTTCACTTTGGCTCCGACAGTGAATCAGTCACAGGAGCAGACGCCACACACAAAAAAAAAAACAAAAAAAACCAAACCCACTCCTGATACTGAGGCAGCACGACAAGATGATTTGTGTACAGTAGCAACAGCAGCTCAGCCCAGGGGAGTGTAGTTTACAGAGGGCTTTACCAACACACACACACACACACACACACACGGAGGCCTTCACAGGCAACACTCAGACCACGAAGCAGCTCCAAGGCCGCTTTGTTCTCCCAGGAACCTGTACTTAGAACGTCACGATCAATATTGTAGGAACCGGGTCTATGATTAATTCATGGTCTAAAGAACCATGAGTCCTGATGTGGGACTGAGTAAAGCCCACCCCCACCCAGACCCCCCCACAGAGAGGGCCTGCCCTGTTGTTTCACGTGGGATCACTTTGTGCAGTATGATGTGTTAGCATCATCTGTATTAATAGTACACGCCCACCCTGGACTGCATGCTCCGGGTGCCCACAGCAGGACAGGTTTTTTTTTGTTTTTTTTGTGAGTGGAATATTTATAGCTGTGCATTAAAAGTGGAATCAAGGGTTTAAGTGTACCATTGCAACACCGCGGCTGCGCCTTTGTCCGGGCCTGTCAAAAATGTGTTTCCCGAGGCTAGCTAGCACCGCTCCGACAGTCAAACACGACAGGTTTTACTGTTCAGTAACACGAAGGATTTGATTTGGTTAATGAGTAGCTGAATGTCTCGGATTAGTTGGACTTTTTTTTTCTCTTTCATTTTCAGCCAACATTAAAGTAGTGATTTCAGTGTTGCGTTAAAGCGTTCGGATATTTCAGGCTAAACTAAATAAGAGTGGCATTAACAATAAATCAACAATAAACATCATTCTCTCAGGGGTGTCTGTTAGAAGACAGGACACAAAACTACAGGCCTGACGTTACACGCAAGCGTAAATTGTGAGCTACGCTGCCACCGTGTGGTTTAGGTGGGGAAAAAACAATCTAGCAAACCATTACTTTCTTGAAACGATATTTATCCCGACCGTTTTTATACAGATCGAGATTTTCTGAATATACCAGCTATTATTTAGAAATACTAATAAAACTTTAATTCAAGTTTTAACTTAGATTAGATTTTTAAAATAAAAAAAAGGCCAAAGTTGGACTTTGTTGTAATTTAACAAATACTTTTCAAATTAAATTTCTCATCTCATCGTGGATTTTTTTGTCTTTAGTGAATTTAAATTTAGATTTTTTTTTTTACTTTTTGAACTGTGATCTTTGGACTTTTCATTTTACTAAAAACATCTTAAAACACCCTTTAAATTAACTCTTAGTTGAAGACTGTGTTTTTGAAACATGTAAATGAAGGTTTTTGTATTTAAATTATTATAATCAACTTCAGTCAAAGCCAGTATGATCCAAAACTACGTGTTAAAAAAAAACTCCTCTGCTCTGTGGAAAAGTACCAGAGAATACTTGTTGTCGTGCTGCTGTACATGACTCCGACCACAGGGGGAAACAAGTACCTACTTTATTAAGTCTCAGTCAAAAGGTGGACAAATATCTTCGAGCGAAGAAAATAACTAACCAAAGCAACAAATGAGATTTCTTTTTAAACTACAGTGTTTTATAAAACACAGCACACAAAATATATCTTTCTGCTCATGTTTATGAAAAGAATCAGTATTATCATAGTTATTTGTCAATTAAACTTTTTAATCTACCGTCTTTTCCGAAGCACGATGATGTTTGTAACTGATAAAAGTAAGCAAATGGAAAATGATAACCTTTCTTTCTTGTGCGTTAGCTCTACATAGCCTCTGGATTATTGTAATTATCCGCTCGCTCTACGTCCACACGCACACGCATGATTTACTGTGTAGAAAAACATCTTCATAAATACCACATTTTCCCCGAAAACGATAGAAGATAGAACACCAAAAATGTACATTTAAAAAAACACACACAAAAAAAAACAACACAAATGTTTGAAGCCACAATCTAAAGAAAAAGGAAATTAGAGTAAGAAAAAAAAGAAAAACAGATCCTGGAAGAAATGCTTATTTTTTCCTGTGTCCTTCAGAAGAGCAGATGTTTGAATAGTTAGAAAGGAAAAAAATAATAATAACGACCACCAGAGTGTAAATACATCTGAGAATCAGCAAAGTTCTATTGGTAAAACCAACACCGTCGTCATCCCTGAGAACTAGTTTTGGTTCAGTACTATTTGCATTTAACTGTACTGTCATTTCATCAGATTCATTTTCTCTGTTTAATGCCTGACAACAAAGGCAAACATTTCTCACCTGACACGATGCTCATTGTTACGCAGAGGAGTCCTGCTTTTTGATTAAGCAGTTACACAGCAGGTGAATCAGAGGTGGGGGGGGGGGGGGGTGTCAGGGGTATGCTGCCTTGGCTTCATTATTTCAGTGAACATTTCCTATTAAAAAAAAATCAAAACACCAGTTTTCCTTGTTAGCTATAAAAACATGTACAATGGTATTCTGTGCATATTGACGGGAGGGGGGGGGGGGGCAGGACGGGGCAGGGTGGGGTGAGGCAGGGTGGGGTCGGGGAGGAGGCTCCTTTTCATGCGCCTTATCTCTGTGGTCCCACTCGTGACTCAGCATCTTCCCTCTCCTCAGGCCTCCTCCTCCTCCTCCTCCTCTTCCTCCTCCTCCTCCTGGTCGCTGTCGTCAGACCCTTCAGCAAACAGACAATCAAACCATGAGCAGAAAAACAAAACCCCGGCTTCAGTGTTAGCGCTGGGGGGGTGCGGGAGGGGGGTTAAACTGAACTAGAGCCCACCAGCGCCCCCTGTCTTAAAAGCTGACATGTGGCAGCATTTCAGAGTTTGTGAAGGAAAGAGAGAGGCGGAGGATGAAGACTGTGAACTCTTGTTCCTGTCGGCGTTCATCGCACATGTATAAAAACTTCTATTCGTTATTAACACTGGAAAATAACATAATTAATTATAAAGTCATTTCATTCATTCATTAAATTAAGTAACTTTGAACGGTACATGTTTAATCTGCACACTTCATCACAGTGAGCAGGGTCAGGTTCAGTGTGTGTGTGTGTGTGGG